CGCGGGGCCCTGCGTGTTCCCGCCCCGCACCCCCCGGCCCCGCGGTGGTTGCGCCCGCAGAGCGGGCGGGGCTAAAAACACTGGGTAAAATAATGAAAATAAAGGTGAAACCAGCCCAGCCCGGCTGCGGGACGAGCCGGGGCGATTGCTCCCCTCCCTCTTGGGGAAACTACAAAATAAAGGGATTTTAACCCAAAATGGCCTGGCCAGGGTGGGCAGAAGGAGGCCGGTTTTTTTGCGGGGAGTGTTTTTATTTCTAGAAAATGTGTTGGCCGTTTAAAAGAGCTACAGAGATGCTGGAGGGAGGGGAACATCTCCCTGCTGAGGAAAGGCTGAGGGAGCTGGGGCTGTTGGGCTTGGAGAAGAGGAGACTGAGGGGCCACCTCATCCATGGGCACAAATCTGTTCAGGGCAGTGTCAGGAGGGCAGAGCCAGGCTTTGTGCAGTGATGTCCAGTGACAGGACAAGGGGCACTGGGTGCAAACTGGAGCACAGGAGGTTCCATGTGAATCTCAGGAAGAACTTCTTTGCTGTGAGAGTGCCAGAGCCCTGGGCCAGGCTGCCCAGAGAGGCTGTGGAGTCTCCTTCTCTGGAGACATTCCAACCCCCCTGGCCACGTTCCTGTGTGATGTGCTCTGGGTGCCCCTGCTCTGGCAGGGGGGCTGGACTAGATGATCTTCCGAGGTCCCTTCCAACCCCTAGGATTCCATGATTCCATGAAAAGCGATGCCTCAGAACAGTGGAGAGGTCATTGCAGGCAGTGCTGGTTCCTGCTCCCCCGTCACCAGCGACAGAACAAGAGGAAAGGGCCTCAAGCTGCACCAGGGCAGGGTCAGATCCGACATCAGGGAAGATTTTTTTCACAGAAAGAGTGGTCAGACACTGGAATGGTCACCTCACCATCCCTGGATGTGTTTGAGGGGCTTCTGGATGTGGTGTTGGTGGATGTGGTTTAGGGGAGAACTTTGTAGACTGGGTGATCCCAAGGGGCTTTTCCAGCCTGAATAGCTCTATGATTCTAAACCCCCTCCCTTTTAAGGGCAGGTGGGGTGTTTTGGGACCCCAAATCCCCTGTGCAGGAGCTGCAGATCCAGAGGAAGGTGTATCCTGCCCCCCCCAATTCCAAATTCACAAGCTGCTTATGCTTAGAAGTGTTTTCCAGCCCAAGAATTAACACACAGAGACGTTCACCAGGAGGTTGGTATTTATTTTATAGTGGTTTTTGTTTTGTTTTTTGTTCCTTGTCACCAGAGGACTGAAACCCGTTTTCATTGCCAAGCCCCCCCCTCCCACAACATTCCTGGTGGGATTTGGGACCAAAGGATGAACCACTCCAGAGGGGCTGAGGATGGATGGATGGATGCAGGATGGGAACGTGGAGCAGTGGGGGAAGGGGTTGGTGGGGCTGGTTTTGGCACTAAAAAAGAAAAATGGAGATAACCCGCTGGGACTCAGGAGCACCAGCACTTCTGGCTCTGGGTGTTTTTTGGTGCCCCTGGGGAAGTGGATTAAATTTCCAAAGCCTTTGATGGTCCCAAATCCACCACCAGTGAGTGTGTGCACCGTTCTGTCTGCTTTGCAAAGACCCAGGACAGAGGAAATCCATTCACATCTCAAACTCAAATTTGGTAGCTGGTTCATCCTTCACCCTTTCCTCACCAGAGATCAAACAGCATCATCAGCTCAGTCTTTTTTTTTTTCTTTAAAAGAAGCTAATATACAGAATATAAAGCATAATATTTACAACAGTAGGGGAAACAGGTTCATTTCCACACTGATCAGTAGTCTGTTTTGACGTGTATAAAAGGAATTCTTACATGACCTAAGAGGAACTGACAAGAAGTGAC